TCTTCCCAATTCATTATATGATACTTATGTGTGAAATACAGATAGGCTTTCCTCTAAGAAGGAACATGCTCCTGTGTTTGGGAAGGCCTTTCCGTGACACTGTGTGCCGTCCTTACTGAATCCTTTGTTTCAGGGTCTTAGGATCTTTCTATAACTAATATAGTAAGCTGTTAGCATCTGTTGTAGGTGCAGTGTTGGAAGGATACAGAACCATTCTTGGATCTGCCTTGGCTGCTTGTCACATTCACTCCTTCTTGCTCCTTGTTGGCTCTTGTCATTCCTCTTCTTGAGTTCCTCACTTCCATAGATTGTACTTCAGTTTCTTTGATTGGCCTTAAAAACACCAACAACATATATACTCAAAATGACACTCAGTGAAGGTTGGTAGTTGCCTAGAAATCAGTCTCTCTTTATTTGTGTGGGGTGAGGAATAGAACTTTGAGAAAGATTACATTAATAACAAAGGGTATAAGGTAAAGGAGATTAGTGGTGGAGGTGGAATACAACCCTTTAAACTCCCTCCAAAGATTCAAAAGAGAAGCAAAGCAAAGGTGACTTAAACAGAAAGCCTAAAGTAAGGTGTTGGAAATGAAATCAAGTAAATCAGCAACTACAATAAATATAAACAATTTAAACTTGCAGTTAGATTGAAGAAATAAAATCCAGCCATATGATGTTTATAAGAGGTACCACTAATACATAATGTATAGGGAGATCCTAAGTGAGTAAATAAGAACATTGATAGATATGAAGAAAGGAAGATAGATCACTGGTCTACCTATATGTATGTCAGTCACATAAACTTTAAAGCAAAATCACTTATTAGTGAAGCAGTAATTCTGAATTTATAATGAACTTCAAAGCCTCCAGATATATAAAGTGAAATTTAGCAGAATTACAAGGAACTACTGGTAAAACAATAATCATAGTAGGACATTTTAATATTAACTCTCATTAATTGATGAGTTAAGCAGAAAAAAATGTTAGAATAGGGAAGACTTACACAATACAATTAATCTTGATTGAATAGAGATATGAGAGAGTATATATATAAAACTTTGAACTTAATTTAAAAATATGTGTGATTTTTAAATGCAATGGAACACTTATAGAAACTGACCAATTAGATTGTTAAGCAAGTCTCAACAAATGTCCATGATTTGAAACTATACCACATTCTGTGAATGTGATGAAATAAATTAAGAAGATAAGAAAAATACATTAAGAAACTAAAAACCACTTCAAATAAGGTTCAAAAAGAAATCAAATTGTGAATTAAGTATTTCAACCTGAACTGTAGTGAAAACTACATAGCAAAAGCTCTAGAATGTAGCTGAACTTTATGTGAAGAAAAATATATGGCTTTGGGTGTTTATATTAGAAGAGAAAAATATTAATCTGTGTGTCCTAGTCAAAAAATTAGGAAAAATGGCAGAATAATATATAAAAGTTAATAAAAAAGGACTTATAAAGCTAAAAGCATATATCTATAGAGTAGGTTACTTCAATAGATTTATAAAATAAAGTACAATTCTTAGTTTTACTGAAGCTTCAAATAAAAGAGAAACTATCTTTTCCAACCTATTCCAGGCACTAGAAAGAAGGAAAGCTCCCTAACTTCTGTTATTTACCTTGTGATATCTTGATAATAAAACCAGACAAGGTGAGTATTAAAAAAGGAAAATTAGGGTCCAGTCCAGTGGCACAGCGGTTAAGGTCAAATGTTCCGCTTCAGCAGCCAAGGGTTTTGTGGGTTTGGATGCTGGGTACAGACCTATGCACTGCTTATCAAGCCATGCTATGGTAGGCGTCCCACATATAAAGTAGAGGAAGATGGGCATGGATGTTAGCTCAGGGCCAATCTTCCTCAGCAAAAAGAGGAGGATTGGCAGCTGATGTTAGCTCAGGGAGAATCTTCCTCAAAAAAAACAACAACAAAAAAGGAAAATTAGAATCCATCTCACTTAAAAGCATATAATAGTAAAAATCCTAAATAAAGCGTTAGCAAACAAAATCCAAGAATACTGGAAGAAGTTCATACATTAGAGGTAAGAAAAGTTCGTTTCAGAAATGCAAAAGCAAAAAAATATATATAATAATCCATCATGAGAAAAACATCAGACAAATGCAATTGAAGAACATTCTACAAAATATACAATCAGTACTCCTCAAAATTGTCAGGGTCATCTAAAACAAGGAAAGTCTGAGAAACTGTCACAGCCAAGAGGAGGCTAAGAAAACATTACACTGAAATGTAATGTGATATCTTGGATGGAATCTTGGAACAGAAAAAAGTCATTAGGTTAAAAGCTCAAGAGATCCAAATAAAGTATAGACTTTACAATAATGTTTCAATATTGGTTCATTAATTGTAACAAGTGTACCATACTTATGTAAGATATTAGTAATGGGGAAACTGGATGTGGAGTATATGGGAACTCTCTGTACTATCTTTGCAATTTTTTATAAATCCAAAACTGTTCTAAAAAATAAAGTTTTATTTTTAAAAACGTAATTCAGGAAAAAGTTGTCAAATTTAAAATAAATGCCTTAAAACTAAAAATGATCAAATAAGAAAATGAAATAATTGACTTTTAAAAATAAGCTAAAGAAATGACTGACAGAGGCGTTTAAAAAATCCAGTCAAAGATAGTAGAATGGACAAACACAGATAGCCCCACTTGTTCCCCAAACCTCACCAACACCACATTAATGGCCTTATGTTAAATTAGACATAATCTACAAGGACAAAGATGGCAGGAAAAACGATAGTAGCAACCAACTGTTAAAAGTTCCAAACAGATGACGTGGTAAAGGAATCAGCAGACCCAAGAACACTGAATCCTATGTCAGTCGTGGGAAAGCTAAGAAGCAACCTGACTACAGTTATTGTAGGTTTCCTAAAAGGGTTAGAAAATTGCCCATATGAGATGGTAGAAGGTAATGGGCTAAAAACAGGAAGACTGTTTGTTAAGTCTATTTAAGTAATTAAAACTTTACCCTAGAAGATGGAGAGAGTAAATTAGGAGGTTTCTAGCCTCCAGTCACCAATGCACAGCCCAGTCTAGAGGTGTAGTCTTGAAAACAAAGGGACTAAATTAGAGTTTGCATACTCTGAGCAGGATCAAGTCTTTTTCCTGGAATTTGAGTTCTAGGAAAAAACCCTAAAGATACATATGTCTGAGATTCTCCAAGAATATGGTGAAACTCACCAAAGACCATGCTTGTGGACTAAGCTTCCATTCATCTCTTTTGTGGACTGTTCTTAAATATGAGCAGATAGCCAAAGATCCCCAGCCATTTGAAGAAGACACCTAATATGAAAATATGAGACAAATATGAGAATATAGGGGTGAGGTAGGGTGGACAACATCTTAAGAGACTGCAGGAAGAAATAAAATTTTAAAAGCTGTTAATATCTTTAGAGAGAGAAGATTAATTGCATCCATAAAATGAGGACCAAGAGTATCAAAATGGACTGAGAACAAGAAAGAGATTTGGGGTATTAAAATATGATGGCAGAAATAAAATCAAGTTAATGGATGGATTGGAAGACAAAGTTGGAGACATCCACTTTGCATTTACAGAGTAGAACAAAGACCAAAAACATGAGAAATAAGAGTGAAAAGATCAGAAAATAAGGACCTGTGTGAGACATTGAACCTCAAATAGAAGGTCAAGAAAGAGAAAAAATAGAACTAAAGAACATGAAATCCTCATGTAGTTGACAAGACCTAATGAGTGCCAAACACAGTGGTGGAAAATGGATAATACCCAGGCCCATCATGAGGTTTCAGAATACTAGGTGTAAAAAGAGGATACAAAAATTTTCCAGAGTTAATAACTTTTTATTAAAATATTTCAAGTGTCAGAATGCTGCTGACTTTAAAATTACGAGGGAAACTGTAGGAAAGTGGAGCAAAGCATTTCCTACACAGAATTCTATACCCAACCAGACTAGGAATCACAAGTCAGGGAACAAACGTTTTCAGATACGTAAGGACATGCCTGTCTCTCAGGCAGCCACTAATTGGATGTGGTCCGAGAAAAAGGAAAGAATAAGCAAAGAAATGATGTATGCCATTTTGTGATTCTAGTCTTAAAAAAGAGAAATGTAAACATATCACATAAAAACCTGCAAATGAATGTTTATGGTAGCTTTATTTATAATCACCCAAAGCGGGAAGCTATCCAAAGGTCCTTCAGTGGGTGAATAGATAAACTATGATACATCTGCAAAACGGAATATTGATCTGCAGTGAGAAGGAACAGACTGATACGTCTAACCACATGGATGAATCTCAAATGCATTATGCTAAGTGAAAGAAACCAGACAGAGAGGCTACATACTGTAGGATTTCATTTATATGACATTCTGGAGAAGGCAAAACTTATAGGCACAGAAAACAGCAGTGGTTGCCAGGAGCAGAGAGTAGGGGTAGGGGACTCACTATAAAGGGGCACAATTGTAGTGATGAGACTGTTCCATGTCTCAATTATGGTGGCAGTTTATAGTGACAGTTACATGATTGTATACACTTCTTAAAACTCCTTGAATCTAAAAAGGATAAAATATATTGTAAACAAATTATACCCAAATAAACCTGAGTTAACAATAACAACCACCACAAATGTCCCTTTGGCAATGAGACTTTCCCTGGTTGCCTGTTTTTCACGGCCTGGCTCCCTACCCATGCTGCTCACCGTTCTCCTCCTTCCCCACCCCTGTTCTGTAAAACCCTTCACAGGGTCTCCAGAAACTGTTTTTGTCATCTCTAGGTGGTTGCCCTTTTTGTTTGAAGAGTCAAAATCATTTGACCTTTCTTCATTGATCCTGCTTTTCTGTCCTTTCAAATTATCAGCCATTTCACACTTTTCATCTTAATTGGTTTACTCTGAATACTTAAATTTTCAAACATAGGTAATTTGCATTAAAGAAGACAGGTTGTGATGATGGAATCAAGGTTGTGTTTATGGGGTTGACACGTTTCCCTCCGCAGATAGCAGCGAATGCCTTGCAGATGACTGTAGCATCGTCGCTGGAGGGACCCTCGCTGGTTGGCATCCAGACTCGGCTGCTGTGTTGTGGAGAAGAGTCCTGGGAATTCTTGGAGATGTGAATAATATCCAGTCACCTAAGATTCATGCCAAGGTTTTTGGCTATCTCTATGAACTCTGGTACAAACTAGCAAAGGTACGTCCTGCTGCCACGTCACCTTCTATTCTAATAGGGAAAATTAATTTATCATTTCACATAAAATCCATGTTGCAGTTAGCTGCTGAACATATCCTGGAACAAAAATTAGGTGACTAGACAAAGTACATTTCATTATCAAAGAATAAATGATAGTACTACAGTTTAGTCGTTTTATAAATGCAGAAGTTATTTCATTTAATGCATATGTAGAATATTACTACAGGATATTAAAGAATAAGGTGTTAAGTAGTTTTAGTTACTCTCTTTATAAAAATGATACTGGTTTTATTATACAAAATATGAAAAATGTAGAAAAATAGAAGAGAATTAACATCACCATCCCATGGGGATAACCAATATTAATATATAGTCTTATTTCTGTGGATAAATACATTTTACAAAAGTATATACAATTTTCGTTCTGGTTTTTGTTTTTGTTTATAACAAAAACGTTATTACAGGAGCTGGCCCGGTGATATAGTGGCTAACTTCGTGTGCTCTGCTTCAGCAGCCTGGGGTTCGCGGGTTCAGATCCCAGGCATAGACCTACACACTGCTCATCAAGCCAAGTTGTGGCAGTGTCCCACATACAAAATAGAGGAGGATTGGCACAGATGTTAGCTCAGCAACAGTATTCCTCAAGCAAAAAGGAAGATTGGCAACAGATGTTAGCTCAGGGCCACTCTCTTCCTTGCCAAAAAAAAAAAAAAATTTACATTTTTCTTCAAAAACATGATTCATGTTTATACAGTATAACTTGTTAAACCATTCCTTATCATTTTGAGTTCAGGACCTCTCCAGGCATTAACATTCAAGAAAAACAATACTCTAGTTTTGTGTTAAATCTAATATCAGGTACAGTAAGTCAGGCACACAATTCAAAGGAACAGGAAATCTCATGATAAAAGAAAAACTTGTAAATATTATAGGTTCTCACTCAACTTATAAAAATTTAATTGGAGGCAGCTCTTTGCCCATGGGACACAATATTGAAGTATCATTGGGATAAACTGTATAATTCCTTCCCTAAAATTCTCCTCTCTGTGAATTAGATACGGGATAATCTAGCAATAAGCCTGGATAACCAGTCTTCTCCATCTCCCCCGGTCTTGATCCCACCGCTCAGAATGTTTGCATCATGGCTTTTTAAGGCAAGTGAATATGTGTTTATTCCTTTATTGTAATTTCCTCTTCCTTTCTGAGATTGAGTTTAAAATATGCAATTGCCCAAGACTGCATCTTTCAAAGACAGGCTGTCTAACTAAAGCCAAGGTATCCCACAGCTCCATAAACAACTCTTATGGAATACTGAGAAGTAAATGAAATGCTGAAATGCCCTGCACCTGGAGTTGGTTAACTCTTTAAACATCATCTCCTTGGCAGGCGACAACATTGCCAAATGAATATAAGGAAGGCAAACTACAAGCCTACAAACTGATCTGTGCCATGATGACCCGACGCCAGGACGTGCTGCCAAACTCGGACTTCCTGGTGCATTTTTACCTTGTGATGCACCTTGGATTAACCAGTGAGGATCAGGTATTCTGTGACTCCTTTATCATGGTGGTCCCTTATTTGGAAAGTGCATTTCACACTTTATAGGTTAAATTGAGGTTTATGAAAATATATTAGAAAGGTTGAAATTCTCAGTAGTTTCAACTCTTGCACACAGCAACAACAGTGGTCTTTCAAAAATGTAAATCAGATTTTATCACATCCCTGCTTCTTCTCCCCACTGACTTTGCATTGCACCAACCAGATTTGAATTTTATTCCATGGCCTATACAATTCTATATGATCTAACCTCTGCCTGTGTTGTCAGCCTCAAAAATGCTATTTCAACCACTTTTTCTTGGGATTCTACACTAGTTAATATTTGAAGAAAATTATTCTGGTCATTTAATAATGTTTGAAAACTATTTTTTTAGGAGGTAAGATGTTTTTGTGAATGACCTCACCCATGAATCAGGGGTCCCGACATTACTTGATGAGGACCTATTTTAATTTATCCGCCAAAAATATGATTTGTGGTTAAGCTGAAGCAGAAAGGCCAAAGGAGCCACTAATGACAGCCCCTCATTGTAGCCCCTGGGTGGGATATGGCCAGCCCCTGGGCTCCTCCCTTGAGAAGACGCCAGCCAGTGAGCAGAGGGTGGGAAAGTGGGACAGGGACACTCTGACTCTTGACTTGCTGTCTGAATATCAAGCAGGCAAATGATGTGATTAGTTTATACTTCACAGGGATTATTCTGGACACTGTCTGGAGGATGGATTTGAAAATCTGACAGTGGTAGGATAGAGTAGGAGGGGGTGGGCCTGGAGACAGATTAGTTAGGAAGTGATTAAATGAATATGGATTTAAAAAATGATGAGAAGTAAGATGGTAGCATTGGAGATGGGAAGAGGAAGGAATAGGAAAAATTCAAGAAATTTTAAGGCATTTACTTTTATCACGAGGTCTTCTTTAGAAATTAGAGATATAGAGAATGTTTTACAATTTACCCTTTAACTTGTAGATACTTAACAGTGAACTTGAATCATTCATGAACTACCAAGTAGCCATCCTTTCTGTGTTTCTCTTATCCTTTGTATGATGCAGACGCACAGACCTTTTGATACCCCTGGGGTACATGTAGGAAGTCATTCTCCTGATTGGCCAGCTTTCCTTGGCTGCTTCAGAATACACTTGAACCTTGCCAACCTTTGGGCCCTATTTAAAACTCTTGCGATATGTTCCCTGATAAACACTTTGAGCTTTCATCATTGAGCTTTTATCTGAAGTAATAACCATACTGTCCTACTGAGTTGACATTGTTAGATTTTGCTCCAATTTCAGCAGTGTGTAGAGGACATCTATACAGCAGGCTGGACTTACACCCATAGTCTCATTTATTTCCTAAATAAATGTAGAAATAGAGATGTGAGAATAGAACTGTTTGTACTTCGTGCTCAGATGGAGCCATCTTCATACAGCCATCATTGATGGTGGAAGCATCTTTAACAGAATGTTACAACTCAGGGCGTGTGGAAGATTAAGGGGTATAAAAAGGGAAGAGAATTAACTCTGACAGATAATAATGAAATCCCTCAATGAGAGAACCAGAGGAAGAATGGTTAGTTAACACCGTTGTACTTTAAAGCAATATTTTGCTAAGGTTTTGCAGGAAAAAAATTTACTTGGAAATAGTAATCAACTGTAGAATCTTCTGATTTAATGAAAACAAGTTTGAAGTCAGCAGTAAACCCTTAGTATTCCTAGAATGAATTTTCTAGAAAGTCACATAAATAGGTGTGAGTTTAGACTCATCTTTCTGTTTTAAAGTGTGTTGGAATGAAAATGAAACAATAATATGGGATGAAATGAGTATATTATAACCTTTGAGAACCCAAAAAATTATTTCAAAAAATAGGATTTTACGGTGTAAAATAAGGAGTTTTCAAATTTTATGCTTAAAATCATTTTCACATTTTAGTGTATGCCATGTTTTTGCTTAAGTTTGATCTTTTGTTGTTCACTGTAAATTACATAAATCTTAAATGATGGCCCATTGCTAGTAGTAATCCCAATGTACAGACTTCTAAGACAAAATGAGGATATCATAAATCTCTACTTTATAGTCAGCCTATTGTTTCAGCTATTAGAAGCTTGAATTTTTGTGTGTTTAATAGAGTTGACTGTTTTGCTTTAACCTTAACAATTATTGGTGTATGTCTTAGAAGCCCTGACCATTTGCCAAACAGAATTACTCTAAATAAAATTTATTCCTTTGACAGAAGAAAATTACGCAGAAGACCTTCTAAGGAAGAAAACTTTTCTCGTTTAAGTAAGAAAAGTCTCTGATAGTTAGTTTAACTTTTGGTGAACATGGCTAAATAGATTCGTGGTGGTTGTTGCAGAACTTATATGTAAACACGTTATATTAATTATAAAAAGAAAACATCTACCGTAGAGAATACAGTTAAATTTGATTTTTTAATTGGTGAACTAGTACCGTCTCAGGGCTTGTTTCCATCTTGTGGGAGTTCTCAGAGAGCCACACTTTTATGTAGCCTGGCACTAAAAGTCTTCGTTCCTGCAGGGAGAACCCTAAAAAGAATTTCCTGTGTTTTTTAAATAAGTAATAACAAATAATTTAAAAATTTTTGACATTTATTAGTTTTGTCTTACAAATAGAATCCAAGGTGAATTTCCTCCTTTTGCCTCTGGGTGGCAAACTTGTCTGCACAACTCTGCCTTGTGTGGCTCATGGGCCACCAGAGCTTTAAAACTGTGGCAAGACCCAGGGCCCCGTGAGCATTATGCTGTGGCCTGGTCACTTTACGGATGCTTTCTGAAATCTGACCGTATCAAAATTATGTCAGTAATGACTAATAAAGTGTGGAATTTGAAGTAAGCAATCGCTTCTCGGTCTTTTGGCTAAGATCAAGTGAAATAAGCTCCGAGATGTTCCAGACAGAAGAGTGTTTATAGTAATTGAAGACTTTTTTTAATCAAAAAAAAGAAACTATTTGTAAACTAGATGTCTCACAGATTATCCTTGGTTCTGTTCATGTTCTTACAATCACATAAAATCATGGTTTCATCTAATAGGATAGCAAATTCATCATGTAAACAAATATAATCATTTCTATACTTAAAAAATAGTAATTATAATACATATACCAAGTAGCCAGAATTTAAAATGTGGTACCTTCCTAACCAACTGTTTTTAATATTGTTTGGACCAGTTTTAGCTATCCTAATAACTTAAAAAAATTTTTTTTAATTATTTTATTGAGGTCATGTTGGCTTATAACACTGTGTAAATTTCAGGTATACGTTATTGTATATCAGTTTCTGTGTATAGACTGCTTCGTGCTCACCACCAATAGTCTAGTTTTTATCTGTCACTGTATATATGTGCCCCTTTAACCCTTTCACCATCCCCCCACCCCCTCCTCCTCTGGTAACCACTGATCTCTTCTCCTTATCTATGTGTTTATCTTCCACATATGTGGAATTTTTCTTCTGTTATGGCTGAGTAGTAGTCTTAATAATTTAATAGCTAAAATAATGACCATATCAAGTAGTATTTCCCACGGTACATGTACAGTGTGAGTTTATGGTTTATTAGGATGATTGCAAAAATGCTTTGAAATAGTTTATTTTTCCTCAACAGTGAATTTTTAAAAATTGATCCTGTTACTGGCTTAGAAAATAATTAGGATCATAAAGACCTTCAAAATAACTGTAAATTATGTGGAAAATTTGAGGTGATTCATAGGACTGCCCAGCCTGCTTGTGAAGGGGTCTTCCTGCGCTTCCCTCTGCCCACCTGCTTTGTGTCTGTTGGGGATAGAAGATCCTCGTTTCCTTAGCACCCGCAGTGCCACTCTGTGTCGAGAACTGCAGTATGCTGTCCCATGGATTCTTCTTCGCAGTTCAGTTAGATAAATAACATGACCCATTGTATAAATATCTAAGGTTCAAAAAGTATTGGGAACACTGGCCTAATGCCACATGTTGAAAAATGCTGTTAGAGTTCACAGATAGGCTTGGCTTATTCTACAGGCAATGTCTTTCCCATTGATTCACCGCTAACACATGGGTCAAACAGTCTTTGGTCATACTCCTCCCTTTTGTCTTATTTCACCTGGGCTCTTGCCTTGGTCCTGCTCTGCTTCAGAATACTCCTTATCTGAGTACCCTCCCATCCCCAACCTGCAGACACTTTTCCGTGATTGCCTTCCCATTTCACCATCTTTCAACCGCTCTTCTAAAGCTGTTCCTGGTTGTTCTTAGTTTTTCCTAATGCTTAAGCAGCTTTTTCACCTTCAGTCTTCCGCAAAATATTTGGACATGAAAGGAGCTATGATTTGGATTTCTTAAAAACAGTTCCTGTTAATTTCATCATTAGTTAAAACATGGAAAGATCAATATGTGTGAAATGGAAAAGGACAGTTGAGGAAAGGAATTTTATTTTCATGTCTCTAAGAACATATATCAAAAACTGGAAAGTTTTCTTTACTTCAAATAAGTAAACTGTTTTTAACAATGACTTACAGATTTAAGGTCTTGATACAATTTGTCTGTTATACATCAAAGTTAAATTCTCTTTAAATGCAAAGCTTACATTAATGCAAAATTATTGTTGCAAATTTGCATATAGAAATTTTGGTAACTATGTCTTTGTCATTGTCATCTATAACGCGGTAGTATCATTTGTAATGCACCAAAAAAGCATGGGGCTCCCAGGTGGAGAAATGTGTATTCTTCTGCCCTGAGGCAACCATCCAGCTACAAATTTGAATCATAACAGTATAAAGTTATGATTTAGTGTGATATAGTGTAGCAGTTCAGAGCATGAGCTTCCAGACAGCCTGGCTGAGCTCCAAACTTGGCTATACCTCTTATTAGCCAGGTCGTTTGACCTCACCGTGCCTTGGTTCCCTTATCTGTAAGATGCAGATAATTACACTGCCTACCTCAGAGGGTTCTTTGAAGACTTGGAGGAGGTAAAACATGTAATGCAGTCAGTTCAGAGCTGGGGCACGACAGT